ACTGGGCTGTGAAGCGCGTTCGAGCGTGCGCAAGACCTCTCTAGGCCGAAAGATTGTACACTGAGTATGCGTTCACAGCTCAATGACTTAGGCATTTTTCGTCAGGATAGATGCTCCCACGAGAAGAGCGTAATGGATATGTGAATAGAATTGGAAATTTGAAATGTTCTTGTCCAATCGCATTTTTCTTTGGTTATCAACGCTTTTTAGCGTCATCACAAGACGTTCAACCCATAATACACTGGTGATTAAAAAATAAGCACCGAAAAACATGCACCGATTTTCGCTCAAAAATAAACACCGGAAAAAACATACCGTAATCATTACCCATGTCATTTTTTTGGGTGATATGTGAATTTCCAGAAGAACAGCGAGTTATCACCCTCCCCTAGGAATACCCTGACTACAGAGCAGGCGACCCGTTTTTCCCCGCGTGAGATTGCGGTGACCACGAACCGTACGGAGGTCACAGGACGTCCGTGAAAAATAAAAAGGAGGCAAGCAACGATCTACTCTGTGCACGCTTCATCCCCGATTTCCACGACCCCAAGGCCGAAGGACGTTTGTGTGAAGGATAACAATAAAATAAAACTTTGCGTCAAAAAAAAAAGCCCGTTTTTAAAAGAAAAAAAAAAGTAGAAACAAGCACAACGCGTTGACGGACCGCGAGGTTGTGGAACACCTCGCGGTCCGTTTGCCACAGGACGGTTGTCTTCGCCCACAGCTCCAAGGTGAATTTGCCACTTGCGAAAACACGGTGACCTACCCAGCGAGAACCAGGAAAGCAAGACACGCACACTGACGCCTCGGTGTGCAGAATGAAACAGGATACGGGCGCGGAATACAGCCGCGGAAGAACACCTCGCACAGTGCCGATCCGGCCGATCTCCGAACGGACGATTTCGCATTTCGTGGACAGCGAGCGCCACCGCACGGGAGAGAGAGGTACCTTAAAAACGACGAAAACAAGCACCGACACCTTGGTTCTTTATATTTGCTGTAGTTACGGAACAAATCGACTTACATGAATAATTTGAATATTATTCGATTCCGTAATAAATTTAGAAGACACTAAGCGCAATACTTCTTATGTTTGAATTTAGATAATTTTGTGAATTCGCTCCGAACGCAAGAGTGCCGAATTAGCCGATTTTTACCATTTTCATGATTTTTTAAAGAATATAATTAAATTTATGATGAAACATTTGTTGCGCTTAGTGTCTCGATAATGGCTCAATGTCTTTAAAGCCGAAATTTTCAAGAAGATCCGCGCAGCCGTTATTATGTGAGAATTTTTTTAATTTGGTGAAAAACCTCATGTATTCTCTATGGGGCTCTGAGGTGCGCCCCCTCTTAAAGCAATTCCAAAAGTCATGCTGTTCCACCTGGGCATTATTCTGCGAGAAGAGCTGAAAGTGTCACCGCATTGCTTTCGCCCTCTATGCCCAGGCAGGTGATGTGCAAGGCGCCCGAGCAGTCAATGTGGATCAGGCTCCATCTTGATGGTACAAACACAAACTGCTTGTAAATGTATAATCTTTACTACAGGCAAAAAAGCGACGGTAGAACCTCTCGAGAAGCACAGACGCAATGCCATCAAAATAAAGAACAGCGTTCACGCTCATTCTCATTTCCGCTAAAACAATACAAATTGTATAAAACCAGCTTGAATCACATTTGTATTGCTCTATAAGTCTTGATTGGTGTTCAGTGTTCTCAGTTAATACCGAAAACACCAAACTGTTTATTAAAGGGGCACTGACACATCAAAATCATTTTTTTTTTATTATCCGAAACAATTGAAAACGATGCCGAGACATTACCCTCAAAATTCGAAACTTGGGAATTCAGCATTTTTGAAATATGAAAATTTCCCAATGCCGAATTTGAAGTTCCCGCGTGATCTGCGCCAGTGCAGTGAGTCAAATTTTGCGGTCTCCTGCGACTCTACTTTCTTGGGGACCTCCGTTGCCACCGCGACCCGAAGCGAGGAGGAGGTGAGCAGGCGGGATAGGAGGGCGCCGGCACGGGAAAAAAACGGTTTCTTTCCCGACTTGCCGATTAACCTCTGCTCAAGCGCCGCCAAGTTTTCCGAGCGAGGATACAAGTCCAGGAAGCGATATCACACCGAAATCTGATTTTTGGTATTTCAAAGAGGGGCCGTAGTGCGTTTGCAATTGCGTTAAAAAAACATGTTTTACGATTGCCGTTACTTAATGTTATAGAAATGTTGCCTACAAAGCTTCTAAATTTCCTGATTTGTGACATCATCGATCAAAAGAAACAAGGAGGTGAGCGCGGGAAATATAAACGCCAAAAATAAAAAGGCGCGCACGCGCGCAAGTAAACTTTTTTTCGCGATGCGTTTTTTTTTTTTTTTTTGCGTGTCTATGACTATAACTTGCATCGTTTTAGGCAATGAAAAATAAAATGACCTTTGGGGTGTCAGTGCCCCTTTAAACAGTTTAATGTTTTATCAAACTCGGGGTGAAATTAAGAACCCCAAAGAAATCCTCCACTAGGGCTTTGTTTCATATTTACCTGGAACACTGCTGCATTGATCTGTCTGCGAGGCTACATTATTCTTCCAAAACCAGACCCTTTATATTGTTTTCGGTTCCAGTACATTTTCCAAGTATTTGGGTCATGTGCATGTTCGCAGGAGGTTGTGGGACCCTATGTCCGTTCCCCATTTATTTCAACTTAGTTAACCAAGTCCTGATGAATGGCAAATTTTGGTCTAACACCAAAAAACACTAAATTGGTGTGAAAAAATAAACCCTAAAAAAAAACTCCCGCAAATTCGAAGAAAAATAAACCTTTAAAACACGGAACTCTAGTCGTGATTAAGTGCCATTCATCGGGGACCTAACGAGTTCTTTTTTAACAAAAGTAAAACATGGTCGAAGGAAACACCCAGTGTGGACTGCGCCCCAAGTGCAGACTAGGTAGCTAAGAAAGAACACTTTTCAGCCAAAAGTCTCTAGATGCAGGGAACAGACTTATAGCCTGGAAAACAAGGCAACAGCAGCACGAAAGGCAGACGTCGAACGTTTGCCATACTAGCGTGGCAAAGTCAATGGTAACACAGAAGGCGATGTGTTTCTTCAGAGAAACTGTGTAAACATGCATATAAAGACCGTATGGCGCAAAGTGGCCCCGTGTCGTGCAAGTCAGGTGCATGAATGCTCCTTGGATGTCCTACTAGTGGGTGCCATCCTCTGCAGTTGCGATGTAAATGCAACTTTCTCAGAGCCTGTTGGAGAGAGACGCACTAGACAGAGCGTGCAGAAAACAACAATTGGAACGCGGCAGTGCCGAGCGGAGCCCTGGACCAGCTGCGGCGAAAGAGAACCAAACACTCGGAGCTACCTCGACCCCTTGCGGCAAAGGAATCTGCTTTTTTTTTTTCTCTCCGCTTTCCCGTTGCTCTTTCTTGCGCTCTTTCTCTGGGGAAGGCCACAGAGCGCTCGGTCCGCGCTCGTTTCACCGAGCGAAGCGCCGCTGTTTGTCTCAACACGTGATGTTATCACACTATCACACTCTGTCGACTGAAACAGTTGACACAGTGTGATAGTGTCTACTGTTTCAGTGTCACACACCGTCTGAGTCAGTGTCACAGATTGCCAGTGTCATACAGTGTCACACTGCGTGAGGCAGTGCCACAGTGTCAGTGTCACACTGTCAGTCACATTGACAGTGTGTTGTGACACTGTCACAACAGACTGTCAACGTGTGTTGTGACAGTGTCAGTATGACACTGACAGTGTCAGTGCCTTCTGCAGCACAAACATAGTTCTGATGCTTCTGTGAAGCAATGTGTATCTTGATGTCGGCCTTGCCGCTGTGCAAAACGCTCACATCACAGGCGCACGTGGAACAGAAAGCATACCTGTCACCTTTCCGCAAAGTGACAAAGCAAGGAAACTCAGTTGTGTATAATCTCAGAAATACTTGCAAGTACTTCTTCTTGGCTTTTGAAAGCGCCATTAATCGTTCCAACGATCCAACTAAACAACTAACCTGGCGGAAACACAGAGAAGTTTGACGTTCCGCCCTTGTCTCGACAACCCAGCAAAGCCAACTGAAGCCTAGCGCACCCACGATCATATAAGCCGTGTGCGAAAATGCGCTCGAACTTACTCTAGAGTAGAGGTTTCGTACCTTGGCGTTTGAAAACCTACCCTCGTTTTACGCTGCTGCTCTGACCGAGTTGTCACGTGGTAACTGACTGGAGTAACCTAAACCTACTTTCGAGGAACTCGCACTGACACGTGCATAATAATTATGGCAATAAAACATAAAGAAAAAGAAGAAAAAGCTACTATTGCTGGTTGTTTTTTGGGAGATATGAGGCCACGTTTGTACAATCGGGAGATGTGATCAAGATTCGAGAGGCTCCCGGACAATTCGGGAGGGTTGGCAGGAATGCAACACGCACATGGCCAGGGTGAGAAAACACTGAGGATAAAAGAGATGAAAAAAAACCGCGCGCGATCGTATTGGTAGCCTTGCTCCCGCTGCACCAGTGGTAACTTTAGCGCTCCACCGTGCTTCCCATCTGATCTAGTGGTTTTCGATGATGCTCAGAAAGTTTGTAGCTAGAACCATATGTTTATTTTCAGCGATTAGAACGTTACCTAATTAAAACAGTTTAGTTCATTAGCCGAGTGATCGTTTCGATTAGCCCCCATACTATGTCCCTCTGTCCGCATAACTCACCTGCACAAACCGCATTAGTACAGCTTTCACGCCTTTTTTTAAAACAAACGTTAAGCTTAAAAATAAACACCCCATATAACAAATGCGCCGCTTTTGTTTAATTTACGTTCCATCTCACATTGCGTCCACCTAAACTTTGTCTCAGAGATTGAGCAACCTCAGGCAGCCTATTAGGCCATTTTTCAGAAGCTGGGGCATTTTTCCAAGAATTCGTAGACGAGGAATCGAAATTTGGCAGGGAGTCTCCAGCCCCAGGGGCCAATCAGGAGGCTGCTCACCTGTTTTTCGAGTTGACCCTGCTTCCAGCCTTGAGCAGCATGTGAGTGACCTCTTCGTGACCTCCTGTGACGGCCAGCTGGAGAGGGGTCACGTTGTCGCTGTCCGAGACGTTGATCCTGCAGCCTGGCGACAAAGACGCCATGCACTCGTCTTAGTTCGGCGCAAAAAAGCACCAAATGCACGTAAAGATAGATTTGATAGAAAAATACACAGCAAAAACTTCAGTCTAGTTATACACAGACTGAGAAAGTTTTCGGACTCCCTGAGAGATGTTCTTTCATAGTAGGTGGTTATGTGTAGCTGCAATGGGGTCGCTCACACTCAAAACAAGAATTCGTGATCCAGACTTTACATGTACTGTCCCATTGTATAATTCACAGTTTTTTCTTAAATATTTTTCTTGGTGCGTCTTATACTGATAATGACAAAAAAGTCTTTATGTACGACAAAGGTAATTTTGAAGCTATAGAGAAAGGGCTGACTGAATCTTTCGAAGATTTCGAGTTTTTCGCTCTAGAAAACAGTGTAGACGATACATGGGAACTTTTCAAGACTCGTTTGTTGGAATTAATAGGAAAATATGTTCCCAATGAAATAATACGTGCAAAAGCAATGAATGATAAGCCCTGGATGACAGCTGCCGTAAAAGAGGTGATAAAAAAGCGCAGATGTGGGTATAAAAATTATAAATTACACCCATGCATATCGGCAGCCGCAGAGCTAGAGAAACTGAATGTAACCTATAAGGAAGCTATTACCACTGCAAAACGCGAGTATTTTCATAAACTTTTCAATGGCATGCGACTTAGTAGCAAGGAATTTTGGGAATACCTCAGAAAGACGCGCAAGGAGAAGATGGAAATTCCAAATATATTATACCTTGGGGAGGTAATTGAAGGAAGTTACAAAAAATCAAGCTGTTTTAATACATACTTCCAGTCTATTTTTGCCTCTAGCGTCAGAACTCATTCATAGCCCTCCCCTCCCCTCCCCTCCCTCCTCTCCCCCCCCCCCCCCCCCCCCCCCCCTCAATGAACAAGTTGTGAATCAAATGCCTCTGGTCGCCATGAGTGTAGAAGGGATAAAGAAGTGCTTCGATGAGCTTGATATTAAAAAGGCTGTAGGTCCCGATGGTTTGTCACCGGGAGTTTTAAAATTATGCTCGTTTGTTGTGTCTCGCTACTTAGAGATTTTTTTTTCTAAATCGCTAGAACAAAGTGTATTTCCAGGTCAATGGAAGATGACGTGTGTTACGCCAATCCATAAGCACGGATCAAAACACAATGTAGAGAATTATTGCCCCATATCACTGAGCTGCATATGTTGCAATAGTTTGGAGCATATTGTTTATAGTAATGTTGTGAGGCATTTCAATACAAATAGATATTTCTCTTCTACTCAACATGGTTTTAGAAAGGGCCTCTCATGTTCCACACAGCTCGTAGGACTTTATCATGACTTGGTTTCAACTGCTGAGGGAGGAGGAGAAACGCACGCCATCTTTCTTGATTTACGCGAGGCTTTCGATAAAGTGTCTCGCCCTTTGCTGCTACACAAACTGAGCTCCCTTAGCCTCGATGAAAACATATACCGTTGGATTGAAAATTACCTTTCTGGGAGAAAGCAGTGTGTTGTCATAAACGGTGCAAGCTCAGATCTTGTTGATGTGACTTCTGGCGTGCCGCAGGGTTCAGTGCTGGGACCCCCTTTTATTTCTTGTATTTATTAATGACATATCATCGAACATTAACTCGCACATAAGTCTGTTTGTGGACAATTGCGTTCTGTACAGTAGGGTAGACAGTGTTGGTGATTCAGCTTTTTTGCAGTCGGACCTAGATAAAATATTGGATTGGTGCAGGATTTGGGAGTTGGGCTTAAATGTGGAAAAATGTATGCAAGTCACTTTTGGGAGGAAACGTAACCCTGTCCATCATGCTATGTTATTGATGATCCTAAATTGAGTAATAACACTGATGTTAAATATTTGGGGATTACTTTGTCAAGCACCCTTTCTTTTAATGTTCATGTCACTGAAACTGCTAAGAAAGCAAGACGCACTTTAAATTTTCTTATTCAAAATTTACGCGGTGCTCCACAGAAACTAAAAGAGACTGCCTATTGCTGTTCGGTAAGACCTACACTGGAATACGCATGTGTTCTGTGGGATCGCATCAGAAGTACCTTGCAGATAAGTTAAAAAAACTTCAAAACTGTGCGGCGAGATTTGTAACAGGAAATTATAGTAGGAACAAGAGTGTAACAGAGACTAAAAATGTACTTGGTTGGGAGACTTTATTGTGAAGGCGCAAAGATTTTCGATTGAGGGTCTTGCTCGCAATTTTTAATGATATGACTGGTATTGATAAAAGCAACTACATAAAATTACCTAACTACATTTCAAATCGTGTGGATCATACCAGAAAAATAAGGGAAATTTCTTGTAGAACAGATTATAACAAGTTTTCATTTCTTCCACGCACAATTGCTCAGTGGAAACTGTTACCAGAGTCGTTTTTTATTCATAAGGACGTGGGACCATTTATCTCAGGAAATGGTCTTGATTTTTAATGTTGTTTATGTTCAATGTTTATGTATTTTCTTTATTGACAGCCCAGGTTGTATATTTAAGCATTCTGTTTTTATTTTATTGAGCGTATCAATCCATGGGCTGTACCTGCCATAATGCCGAAGTTTTTGGCGCTGCAGGTTTTTTTCTGTAAATACATAAAACAATGCAACCTATATGTGGGTTTCTAAAAAAAAATGTACCATTGCGAACGCCATTTTTCTATGCACCAGCGCCGCCTTTTATAAAGCACCGTAACTACATAGCCATAAGTGTGTTGCACCTTCCAGGAGGCAGTGCTGTCGACGCACTCTTCCACACTCTTCATAGCCGACTCAGAAAGCGAGTTATTTGACAGTTTCCCCAGTATGCCACTTCCCTAAAGCAGCTCTATCTGGATAGCCAAGGCAGTGAGGATAAATCTTTTACAGCATGCGATTGACGTTGCCTAATTCAGCCATAGTTCCGTATTCTTTTGCTTCAGTCCAGTAACACTGAAATGTAAGTGGGCTGGTATACACACACTGCAGAAAATCTTCTCGTGCGTCTTTCTTCGTTTCCATTTGATGAGCACTTTTTTTCTGCCATGCTCTAGCTGCATCACTACATGTAAAAGGGATTGCGGCTAGCTGATCTTGTAGCGGTACCAAAAGAGTGTGTACCAAGGCCACCTATCTGCCTGCGCGTTGATGCTTGCGTCGTCTCTGACTTTGCTCAGGCTAGGCCTAGTAGTCCAAAGCTTGGTTCACAAGTTTCTGGCACGTTGAACTTTCGTTCACTCAGCATGCGTACATCTGAATAAATTTGACTACCTTCTCACTTTGCATGTTTTGTGTCCTTTTGCTAGGGAACACTCGATTGCACCCGCAAGACAGCGCCGTGCTATGGCCATTTCTTGCGAGTCAAAATGTCAAAGTTGTTGCGCGTCAAACAGTATGTGGGAAGTAGCCAATCGTGTGAAGCTCCCATTTCGCGATCTCTATCCGTGTAAAAAGAAAAAAATTTGTGGCGTGAACCAGGCACAAAGCCAGGATTTTGTTTTAGGGGGGGCCCGCCCATGACAAAATGCTGTACGAGGGGGAGGGGGAAAGGAGGCCCCAGCAAGATGGAAGATTTTGGGGAGGGGGGGAGGGGGCCGGGCCCCGTAGGCCCCCCCCCCCCCTTGCTACGTGCCTGGCGTGAACCACGCAAAGAGGTGCGACTTATACAAAAGTGCAACTTGTATACCAACTTTTCTGCAAAAACTGCTCAGTATACGGAAGTGCGACTCATTCGAGGGTGCAACTCACAGTTCGGAAAACACGGTTTGAGAAACGGTCTCCGAGAGATGGACTTTTCGAACAGACGTCCCAGCTCACCGGCCTTGATGAGGAGGTCGAGCACCTCCGGCCTCCCTTGCTGGGCCGCATAGTGGATGGGCATCCGGTCGTAGAAGTCCGGCAGGTTGACGTCCGTCTTGCGACGCAGCGGGGCGAGGCGCCACAGGGACTGGAACAGCCCCAGCCCCCTCTGGTGCGGGTTGTCTCGGTGGTGGGACGAGGCGTCGCGTGGCAGGTAGATGCACGGCAGTGGGTCCTCCTGGAGGCCCGTCTTTCGGGGGGAAACGTCCTGGAGACGGTCCAAGAGGTCGGCCTTAGTCATCTCTAATAAGATGTCTTCCATGTTCACAAGCCACACTGCTCGTACACAGTACAAAAGACGCAATGTTCACCACGGACATGACGACAGGGTTATTTGTAGACGTGCCTCATGGATGTCCAAAGCATGTTTGCTTCGTACATATGTACACTTCGAACTTGTCTGCATGCAGTTTTTATGTGACCATGGTGACAGTGACATCATACGGGGAGGAAACATGCCTCGGACAAAACGTTTGCAGAGTGTCTTCTGTAGGATGTATTAGCAGTGTGACAGTTGCTTCATGATGTAATCGAACAACGGAATCTCCAGAGAAACCCTGGTCTGTTGTAAAGCTGTGAGAAGGAAAGGTTGCGAGGAGGATGCCGTTCAGAAAATATGAGCAGGCGTTCTCAAGACGGAGTTGCGTTTAGCTGAGGCGGTGCAAGTTTTCTTGTTGCAAATCCATTTCCGACGGTGTATTCGCGCGACAAATATCTTTTTTGTGGGGAAAGCCGAGTACCATTTTGAAGGACTACGGTAGGGAAAAGTCGAGAGAAGGAGAAGACGAAACTGAAAATCTGAGCAAGTCCTCGCACACGGCTAACCCGGCAGAGTCTTTCTTTATGTGAATGTGTTTGTGACCTTCGTAAACTCATCCAACAAAACGCAGAAAAGAAAAAAAAAGAATCAGAAGGGCACTTCACAGCTCATTGCTGCTGACCATAACCCTTTTTCAAAAGGAGGAGGACCGGAAACTTTGACGGAACTGTGGATGTTTTATCGTCTGGCCACCGACTCCCAGCAGCTTTCCGCGGGCACCAGGGATTAGCGAGCACCCATGACGCAGCGCGTGTGACCTCAAAACTCTAAGACATTTATTCCTCTTCTCAGAGAAAGGCTCCATCGCACAAATAAGCTAATAACATACTCTTATGACTGCTAGTTCGCCGTACAGTAACTGTATATGCACCACTTGCAGAGCAGAGTAGCGCAGCAGTCTTCTCTTTTTGATCCAAGAATGACACGTTGCAACGGCGGAGTGCAAGTGGTAACCCTCTCCCTCGAAAGCATGTGCTCTACGTGGAGAGCATGGTCGTTGTCTGCTTGTCCTTGGATCATTTTCGAGCATATGACCCCCGCACCGCCAATGAGGAGTTGGTGGCGAAAGAAAAAGGAATGCTACACCTTGGCTCTGCCATCTAGTTACTCTAGTTTACGGCATTGTATCGAAGGTTCCGTGAATACCAGTTAAAGTTGAACAATGCCGCATAATAGACAATATCTGATGAGAAAAGGAATAAGAAGAGGGCAGTATTTAGATGTAGACCTTTGCAGTGTGAAGGTAATAATAACGTCATTGATCTATTATTTTTCAAAACCCCATTAGTGGCTCCCTAAAAGGGGTAGTGCAATGACCTTAGTGTTAAAAAATTTGCAGTGTGTATTTTTTCTTTTTCGTACGGAAGCACAAGTGACCAAAAACACGTCACTTTGGCCCGAAATACAGTCTAATCTCGTTAATTCAAACTCGAGGGGGTCCAAAAATTTGTTTGAATAAAGCAGAGTTTGAATTACCGGGAGTTTCTTCCCATAGAAATGCATAGGATGGGACCAGCATGTTAGTTTGAATTATCCAGAAGTTTGAATTAAGAGAGTTTGAATTAATGAGATTCGACTGTACTGTTATTCCGCCGCGTAATCACAAAGGAAAAAATGAATTGTTTGCCAATCTGCGGCTGCAAATGGCAGATATGGGAACTACAGTGACGTTTCTGGAGGATACGTAGAAGTCAACAAAACGTGTCCCTTTGTACTGCTACAATCGTCATCAGCCCCGTCGAAGATGGCTCACCACGACCGTCGAGGATGCTAATCCTCAAAAAGTCGACAGTCACGGAGGAAGCGACTGGGTTCTCTGAAGAAAGAACCCAATGGGAAACCAGGCAATCCCCCAGAGTGTGTCACTCGAATGACGACTTGGGAAGTTGAAAGAAACTTTGATCCTTGATTTTTTTTTTTTTTCCATTTTTTTTAAATAGAAACTAGCACAGGCAAGAAATTCCGGTTTTCTGTTCTTCTTTCTATAGGTGATGCAAATTAATTCCTGCAGTTAATTGGCCAAAGTCCGAAAATCATTGCACCGCACCTTTAAACCTCAACCAAACAATTTAGTGTCCATAATAAGTGGCGCACGATCTTTGCACGAGCCAGCAGCCACCAGTGTGTGGGAGCACATGCAACGAAAGTGACATCATAGTTCTCGATTCACGCTTAATTAAGATTACCATTTTTTTCATTAATTAAGATGACAGTAAAATCACAATGTATGGGTTTCGGGCCAAAGGAGAATAAGGACAGGCTTTTCATCTCCACAAGTGAAAGCTATGTGCTTATTAGACCAATTGATCGCTTACCTTTTACACCAGACCCCACTGTGGAAATGAAACGCTCGTCATTATTCTCCTCCTTCCTTGGACCCCACACATTTCACTATCATCTTAAGCATGAATGGGGGACTACGACATCAATTTCGTTACGTTTGCTCGTGCCCACCAGCGGCTGCTGGCTCGTGGAAATATTGTGTGCCACTTACTATTGACACTGAAATATTTGGCCGAAGATCTCTTTAAAGGGACCCTGCAGCTATACTGAATTCAAATTTCACTAACTGCATGTACCTATATTCACTCAAAGAACGAGAACAGACACACACGCGCTGTAGACCGGGTGTGTCTTTCAAATGCCTGGGCTCCAGCACATGCTCTGCGCTTTCCTCCGAGCTTTGGCTGCGTGCACGCCCAGGGGGCACGAGACGCATCATTTTAGGTAGGAGGCTCGCGCCGGAGGCAGAGCAACCAAAGCTCCTCCTTACCATTCTCCCTTAATCAGTGACTACAGAAAGGCACGAAACATTTAGGCAAGGATTGTGGAGCAAAAACTGTGGTTTTCCCCACAAAATTCTGAAAATGAGGTGCTGGGTGAATTACCATATAATGTGGCTCGAGCACTGTGTCACCAGCGTGCCTGTGCTAGGTAACAATAAAAGGGTAGGGTGCTACCGGCACGTAAAAGTGAGCACTTTAACATGCTCCCTTTTGCGTGCATTAGGTTTCCCGTGGCCCGGCGAAGGACGTGCTCCCGAAATGCTGCGGCTTTGCTTTTTCTTTTTTTTTCTTCTTCTTTTTGCGCGTATTTTTTTTTATCACACGCTATTATTTTCTGAGGTAACAATCAACTCTTTGGCGCATATTTGAACAATTGGCACGGGTAAGGAAATGACCGAAACCCAATGCCATTCGATGCCCAGCACGTACTGAAGAACAGCCAACCCATGGACCTGACTTCGATGAACATTGGCAGCTGAAGATAGCAAAAGAACACTTGTCAGCTCGTTTAATCCACGAGCCAAAAGAGGACGCACTGAAACACCTCGCAGGCTTCAATATGTCATGATCTGAGTCACTGCTCATTTCGCTAATGAGTTGAGGAAGCAAGTCGGCTCGGGTTCTCAACATTATTTTCTTTACAAATTTACCAATCACTACTTAGTTAGGTCTGGAATATCATTTGATGGCTCCTTTAAATGAACCAATTTAATTTTCATTTCTGACAGCATTAAAAAAGAACACAAGCCACATACCCTCATTAGGATGTGCTATGCACAGCGCAGACCTATGTCAGAGAATGATCCAGCCTTACTCCCAGAGCGGTTCAACTTTCCTCTGCCTTTTGTCAGCAATCACTTTCTCTACAGCATCAATTGAACACTCGACGGTCGCATATCAAATCAAGAATCGAACACAACAAAAAACGGGAGGGGCAACACTATACGCGAGCTGTACACACAAGATTCATGGGTCTTAAACTCTTTGACCTCGAAGACCAGCCATCTTCTTTGACCGATAGCCGAGGAATTGCTCCAGGCATCGGCTCTGATGCCATGAAGCGATGCAGAAGACTACAAGCCTTGCAAACAATAGCGAACGTCCTACATTTTCACGCGGGCAACTTTCTGTGGCATTTCAGAAGCGAAGGGTGTGCATGCACAGCTTTCAGCTCAAGATGCACAAGTGCACAAGCACCCATAGCTTTGACTGCATAGCCACAGAAAGTTGTCTGCCAGTATAGAGTGTGCTCCGTGCATCCCTCGGCGGCTCTGATCTTCTACAATAAAAAATGATTGCATCTCCACGTGGTGAAGGATGTTGATGGGGGCGAAGCTCTGGTGGTGCTGATGATACTGATTTTGTTCATAGGTAGTGCTGATGGTACTCATTTTTTTTTTTATTGCTCATAGATAGTGCTGAGTTCCGGGTTGCATTGGCATGGAATGTGTGGTATGAAACGTGGTTATATACGCATTTGAGCATTTGACCGCAGCGCCCTCTCGTCTATAAACGTTGAGCCAATGCGTGCAAAATTTAACGCGATTATATGCGCATTTGACCGCAGCGCCCTCTCCTGTATAGACGTTGAGCGGCTACATGCAACGTTTCATCCCCGACATCCCCAGCTCTTGAGTTACTACCACATCTCGGATCCCCCTACTCGTCCTGCAGTCGTGGCCGAGTGGTTAAGGCGATGGACTAGAAATCCATTGGGGTTTCCCCGCACAGGTTCGAATCCTGTCGACTGCGCAAACATTTTTTCTTTTTTTAAGAAGACAGATGGGATGGCAATCGATGTGAGCACGGACGCCGGGCAAGGCTAGACCCTAAGGAGCTTCACCCCTAAAAGTGCTTGAAGTAGACGAACATCTCCTCTTGCTGATGAGTTTAAACACTCATCGCCGAGAAAGCGTGAAGCCTCGGAGAACCCTCGACGGTACTTCGGAGAACACCAGAATTCCTGGGAATCCAGTTTGAGGATCCCTGGCACAGATCATACCTCGTCGTTGCTGCGGTTCCAAGCTGCGTCATTGGGACGAAGGAACGCGTCAAGGGTGTCGTCCAAAGAGTAAGGATCCTCAGGCCCAGCCGAGTACTCGCTGTCATCGGCCGGGAAAAAATCCTCAGCGTGCAGCAAGACCTTCAACACTTCCAGGTTGCCAATCTGTACGGCTTGGCCCAGCAACGTGTAGCCCGACTGGACGAGCGTGTTGACACGAATGCCTATCGGAACGAGAAAGAATAATGATTTAGTTAGAGCAACCTAAACTCTCTAGAATGAACTCAAAACGATGTTATCTATAGTCGGGTGCAGGTTAAGAACAGCAGGTCAAGCTCCGCCCCCACGAAGGCCCTTTCTCTTTTTACTCAAGCACAGCGAACGCTGGAATGAAGGCGAGTGGAGGGGAGCAAACCACCAATCGTGGAGAGCTCTGTGCGATTGGTCTGTCCTTCTTCTCTAGACCTGCAGCAGAATAACGTTTTTAGCCAGACTGATCGACTAAGGACCTGTCAGGCCCGAAACGCTTCTGCACCATCTCCACTGCTGTCTCCCCACCCCAACAACTAAGGCCAGGATTGTTTGACCATATTACTTAAAAAACCTTGTTTTTTTCAATCCAGGTTAGGCCATCCAATTTCAACAAGCCACTAAGCATCTTTCAAACAGCTGAGTGGACGACCAAGTTGACCGTTCGTTCCGATTTGCGACAAAGAATTGAAGATACGATATGTGCGCCTCAGTTCGAAGGCGCACGTCTACGTACCTTCCCGAAGAAGAGCTTTGACGTTTTCGACATCACTACGTGTGACTGCTTCGTACATAAAGTCGCCTAGCTCGGATGACATGTCGCATCCGAGATGGAAGCACTCTCGAGTCTGCGGTTTAGTCACTCGCCGGAATCAAATGCACTGCGCGCAGACGAAGAGATGGGATTATCGGGAATGCGTATCAGTTTTAAGAAGCCTCAACCAGTCATTGGCAGTGATATGCGAGTAAGCGTTAGTCTCGATCATCTCGCCGATTGTCTTCAAGGATTGAAAGCCGCGAGAGAAGATACAAGCAGCGGGGCAGCGGTTCAGCGACAGCAGAGACGGAAATGGATCGGATTGGATTGGAATGGATTGAACTAATCTAGCTTTCATTTCTCCGTTGGCTGAGATCAGATCATCAGAGATACAACTCAGTTGGTTGTGGATATTTGAATAAAAGAGGTGCTTTTAGTAAATAAAAAACTAAACGTTATACGTGAATTAACGAAATTAAGTGTAATATGTGTAATATGTTATATTATTGAATAAATTATTATCACTCATGTTCGTACTGTTTTTGTTTTCTTTTTTTTTTTTTCGGTTTCGTTTCGACGCGTTGGAGTAAGATTCCGAGATAGCCGTCCATAAAATGACATATTTCAGTAGCAACACGTCGCCCGTTTCATCCGTCATGTGCCTGGCGCTTATTTCATGTAATCTTACCATGGCATATATTACCCCGAAACCGTGATACAATTTTATAATTTTTTTCAGGTTATTTTACACTGATAATAACCTGCTTAGGTTGCACTGAAGTCGATTCTGAGATCGTTTTTTTGTGGTGACAACTCAATTTAGACGCTCTAAGCATCCCGAAAAATTCGAAATCACAATCGTGCGTAGCTTATTTTTTCGTTAAAAGCGTGTTCAAAGGTCGCGACGCGCACTTTTTGGGAAGAATTTTCTTCCGAGTGAAGTGGTCGACGAAGGGCGTTTGTCGGCGAGTTGCAAGCGAGATCTTCGCCCGTGGAGAAAAAGAGGAGTTTAATCTAAATGTGCACCGACCAGACTCTCTTCGAAACGAGTTATAATAAAATCATTTGGAATCTGAATTTAACTATTTCCATAAATCCCTGCATGCTATACGGCGCGCGTTGCAATCTGGGAACTTAACCAAGGAGCTATTGGTGTAATCTGAGCTAGTTGGTTACTCATTATGAAAAAACCAGCTGAACTAAGGAAAAGGTAGAGATAGAAAGAAAGACACCCGATCGCTGGACTACCAACCTCCTCTTCATCCTCTTCCTCTCCTTCTGCATAATTCACTTCGCCGGGGCACCTATCTGCGCATTGCCGAGCATGCAAGTGCACGGCGAAGCTCGCGCAAGTTAACATCGTAACACGCCACAAAAGCCAGCTCGCGCGGGAGATGTTAGAAGCTGCTGCCATAGAAGAAAAAGGAGATGGGTGTGTTAGTGCACCTTCAATCACCTTGTTGCGCACCGAAAAACTATTTCTCCGAGGGGGTCAACATCTTGTAAAATAAAACGTAAAACAAAGGGGAAAAGGGGGGAACGAAGTGAATTAGGCAGAAGGAGAGGAAGAGGATGAAGAGGAGGTTTATATATAAAAACAGTTGGTAGTCCAGCGATCGGGTGTCTTTCTTTCTATCTCTACCTTTTCCTTAGTTCAGCTGGTTTTTTCATAATAACCAAGGAGCAGTGGCATGGTTTCGGTTTCGATCGACACGTCGACAAGAGATTATACTTATTTATTTATTTATTTATACATACCCTCAATGCCTCGGGGGCGTTATAGAGGGGAGTGGGTCAGTACAAGTGGTTTTGAAGGGCTAGTCGGAATTGCTTGGAGTCGGTATAGGCCCGTAGCTCTCAAGTTTTGAGCAGCGCTCCAGGCGAGCAAAATAGAATGTTTGGCTCGCGTTTCGAACGAGCGACATCACGCTTCCCCACTACAGTTTTTTCTACTCCGTTCCATTCTTAGTGCCAGCGTAGCAGAGGCTACAAGAGCGAGCTGCGAGCTTGCAGTGTCCCTTCCAAGCACGCGCGCTCGTGCAGTGCGAGCATCGTTCGGGAGAACATGTTTTTGCAAGTAGCTTCAGCTTCGCTATCACGTAAAGTGAAACATATGGGCTCATGGTAGCTATGAAAGAACGCAATAAAACGATAATGCTGAATGGGACGCTCAGGCCACGAGGTGCATGATTCTTTTTTTTATTTTAGTTTTTCTTTTTTTTAGGCGTTTTGTTATCGCGCGTCCACAGATGCTGACAGATGCTTGCATTCGAACGTGGCACGTGCAAAATCGAACGTTACAGCGCCGCCTGGATAGTGCTGCCAGCATAACATGGACGCGTCTTGCAGACGCGCTGGCGCCCCCTGCCCCAGAGCAACGGGTCTATGGCGTCCGGGAGGTCATTCCAGTCCACAACTGCTTCAGGGATGAGGGAATGCTGGTGTGCTTCACTTGATGACTTGGGACGGGCGATCTTGCATGAATGGTCTAATCTTGATGATATGTAGGTGGGCGGGTTCAGAAGAGATATTTTCAAGAAAGGTGTGTAGAAGACTTTATGAAGAAGAGAAAGGCGGGAAATTCGACGGCGGGAGGAAAGTAGAGGAAGATTAAGACGAGACTTCATTGATGACACACTTGAGGTACGAGAATAGTCATTAAAAATAAAGCGAGCAGCACGGTTCTGAACGGATTCAATGGAGTCTGTTAAATTTTTCTGATGAGGATGCCAGATGGAGGACGCATATTCTAATTTAGGCCTAACAATAGTGGTGTACAAAATACGTTTTAGGTTTTCAGGTGAGGATCTAAAGTTTCGGCGAATGTAGCCTAGAGAGCGGTTTGCTGAGGATATAATTGTTTTAATATGAGTATGCCATGATAGATTAGGTGTGAGATTCAAGCCTAAGTATTTGTATTGGTTAGTATAATCAATGGGGACAGAGTTCAAAAGAAGTACAGGATAGCTAGGTGATTGACAATGAACGAGAAAAGCACATGCATTGACATTTGTTTAAGGACATGCGCCATGTGTTACACCATTCAGAAATTTTATAAATGTCGCCTTGAAGCGTTACAGTATCATCTGTAGAGGTTATCTTACGATAGATTACACAATCATCGGCAAAAAGCCGCACAGTGGAAGAGATGTTGAGAGGAAGATCATTAATATATATTAGGAAGAGTAATGGGCCGAGTACTGTCCCCTGGGGGACACCAGAAGAAACAGAGCACAGGGAGGATTTGGTGTGGTTAGCATAAACAAACTGACGACGTTGAAGAAGGAATGATTCGATCCATTTTAGTATGTTAGGGTCAATTTTTAGCATAGAAAGTTTCAGCAGAAGGAGGTTATGTGGCACTTTGTCAAAGGCTTTGGCGAAATCCAGAAATACAGCACTAGTGGGGTAGCCGGAGTCAAGGTTTAGGTGAAGGTCATTAGTAAGAAATAGGAGCTGCGTTTCACAAGAAAAGTTGCGGCGGAAACCGTGCTGCGCGTTGCTAAAAAAGGAGTTGTTTTCGAGGAAATCAAACAGATGCGTGAAAATGATATGCTCCATGATCTTAGATGGGATGCAAGTAAGAGATATAGGCCTGTAGTTGAGGGGAGAAGACTTACTGCCGCTTTTGTGGACCGGAATGACCTTGCCGATTTTCCAGTCCCCAGGCACCACCCCCGACTCCAAAGACTGCTGAAATATCTTGGTTAGAAATAAACTACAAGACAGGCTAGTGTTACGTAATATTTTAGTGTTTATATTGTCAACCCCAGAGGACGACGAGACCTTTAATGAGTTAATAATTTGAGATACACCATTAAATTCTACAAAAACAGGGTCCATTGGAAAATAATCAGCAGGAACGTGACCAGGTAAAAAGTCGGTAGAAATAGGTGTAAACACATTGCAAAAAACATCATTAAACACAGCTGCACACTGATCATCTGGCACAACTTCACCCGAGCCGTTAAAAATCTTTGGTAAAGTGTGGTCTTTTGAGTTAACAATACTCCAGAAACGACGAGGGTTGTTAAGTAATATTGAAGGGAGCGTCTGCTGAGAGTACACGCTTTTGCACTCTTGCAGTTTCATTTTGTAGTTATGTTCACAATTTTTATATTTGGACCATGACTCAGGAGTATCATCACGCTTAGCAGCACGGAAAAGCCTTTTCTTTTTGTTACAGAGAGACCTAAGCTGTCGATTGAACCATGGTTTCGCCGAGGAAGGCCTGAGGTATTTGAATGGGATATGAATGTTAACAAGTTCATCTAACTTGTTTTTAAATAAGTTCCAATTCTCGTTAACATCTCGAGAACCAAAATTATTTAAGAAAAAAGAGAAATAGTCACACAACGCTCGGTTTATTTCTTCGTAATTCCCTTTGTCGTATAGCAATATTTTCTTTCCTGAACGAACAATTTTTGCAGTTTCAACTTTTATGTAAGAATGAATTGATTTGTGGTCACTGATGCCGTCCAAGAATACCAAAGGCGTTGGAAATAATTCAGGGTGAGAAGTAAGAACAAGATCTAAAATGTTTGAACAGGAATGAGAGACTCGCGTAGGAAGGGAAACTATCTGAGAAAGATTGAAATCTAAAACGACGTCAATAAATTGTTGACAAACACTGGAGTTTTTAGAGCAGACAGGAGTTGGGTCGTTCCAATTAATGCACGGAAAGTTAAAATCGCCAAATAAAAGTATGGGATAGGTTGGATATTCTTTTGAAAGTAATGACAATTCATCGTGAAGAAGGCTTGAGAACGAGTGTGACGCGTCAGGAGGACGGTAACAAACACCAACCAAGACAGACCTAAAACTGCATTGTAAGCAGACCCAAACTATTTCAAGCTGTGAATGATTAGAAACAACTCTGCTAGGTATCTTTTTATCTACGGCTATAAGAACGCCACCACCGCGTCGTTGCTGTCGATCGAGACGATAGATAATGAAATTAGGGTGATCAGGCAGTACTTCACTATCAGTGACTTGAGGAGTTAACCACGTCTCGGTCAGCAAGATTATTTTGGCGCTGCAAGACGAGATAATGGTACTTAGCTCATCACATTTAGATAGAACGCTTCGAGCATTGGCATATAAAAAACTGATGCCCTCATACGAGCCTAATCTGCTGTTTCGAACACTCCCCGCCTTGCGCTATCGCTGAAGTTCAGTTACTAACTTAGAATGGTGGTCGTAGGTATATGTCTTTGGACCGATCAAAAGTTTATCGAAGCGTAGTTTGAATGGGGAAGTTTGTTGTTTGGCATATACGAGCAACGCCTTCCTTGCGGTGCGAACAGTTGGTGAATAATCCTCAGATAAT